TATATATATATATATATATATATGTGTGTATATCTCGCAAATATATACGTCCCAATCATCTTTCGCGAGTGGAGGCTCTCCTTTTTCTTATAGGAATTATAATTTATATATGTAAATTTTCTTCACGATTACACATTATACACTATATAGGAAAGAGAATGATTGGCTGGCAAGATTACGCACCCGCGGAATGGCGGAAACTTATTTACAAATTTTATTATATTACAAAAAAACAATACCGAGCACGATAAAAAAATGCAATGTTATTTTGGTATGAGTGCAAATAGTCTACTCTATACGTCTTGCAATTTAAAAAGTTAACTCCTTTGTACAAAATATCGATTAATTCATCTTGAGCAAAAATATTTTTTCTCTCTCGTCTAATTCGAATCCGTGTATAATAATTATTACCGTAATATTGCAGGAAACGTATACTATAATGTATTATTTATATATACGTAACGATTTAATTAATTTAATTAATTATATAATTATATTTATAAATTTATAGAGGTACAATAGAAAAAGTTTCTCCAACAAGTTATTAAGTCCTAACAGGTTATTAATTTAGATTCGCTCTTTGGTAAAGTTACATTGTTTGTTTTGTGGAAAGTTATCCTTGAAAAAAACAAGACATTAAGAGAAAACAATACATAAATTTATACACGCGACACGATTCTACGATGGATTTTATCGTCTAATTCTTCAAATTTTCGAACCTAAGAAATAATAAAAAAAAAAGGAGCTCTCTTAGCGTTAAAAAAATATAGGATCTAGGATAATATCGCATCGATATTAATCGCGTCACATGGATAAATTTCATTGCACGATTAAAATTACAATATTATTGAGAATGTGGAGTAAATTCGATCTAAATTTTACACATGGTGAAATATAGATTGATAATCATCGATTTTATACAAGATATTAATAAGATGTAAAGTTTACTGACCAGCTTTTTAATATCATTGTAAAAAATTATGTTGTTCTCGATACGTTAATCTTAATCTTAAAAACTATCAAAAACGCAGTCAGTTATCCCGCAACCATCGTACATAAACATAGAATGGTGATTGTGTAAGTAGTAATACTTTCATGCATGATTTTATTGCTTCCATAAAAATTATTTGGATAAGGAGAAAATTTTGAAGAGTATAAATATTAATTTAATTATTGCAACTTTTATTAACGCTATCAATGACGATTCATCACCATTATTCATCTATGACTAAAAAAAAAAAAAAAAAAAAAAAGGATCAATTAACGTTTCGCTTATCGGTATAAAATACATCTACTTACACTAACACTCGTTTACATTTAGCCTCTTATTTCAGTTCGACGATATGTTATGTATATCATGTATCTAAACCTCTTCTTTATATGTACACAGAGTTACACAATATTGTTCCCTAAGCGTATCAAGCTTCAAGAGAAGACTTTCGTGTGCGACGTCCAATCTACGAAAAAAATTCTCGAAATCTGCACAAAGATATAAGTGATTAAATGTATTAATTGATTGTCGGAATATCAACAAAGAAATCGATTGAAATTTTCTTGCAAGCCATCCAGAAAGATGAAGAAATTGAATCGATACTATTTTTTTTTTTTTCTTTTTTTTTTTTGTTTCTTGCGGTTATTCGGTAAGACGATCCGTTTACGCGCAGCGGTAACTCAAAGCTTGTGTCGCTTTAAAATTATGAATTGTGTAACTGAGCGTTTCACGTGTTAAAGTTCATATTTCTGATAAAAACTTTCGCACTTTGTACACGGCAAACATATTAATTATTCCATTATTATTATTATTAGATGTCTGCTTACGCTATAGGTGGATCGTCATCGTCATCGTCGTCTCTTGTGACTAGGACATTACCATAATGGTTTGGACGAAGCTGTCGAACTCGTTGTAACCATTTATATCGCCTCGCGACAAAATACAGTAATACGCTCATTACTACGAGAAAAGTTGGTATTAACAAGCCAGCGGCTACAGAACTACCTAAATAAAATTCAAACAGAATTTTGTCAGCAATTTTAGCATAATCGTGGCACGTCTTATGTAACCAATCTTTTTTACGATAGTAATATAATGATATCGTTATCGTATGACTAATTTATACGATAAATTAATAATATCGTATTATGAATTAAAAAAAAAAAACAGTTACAAAAATAATGTGCAAAAATAATTGTATGTCTTGGAAAATTTTTTTCTACCATCCTTTTAGCAAAATTTTAATTCTGTCTTATAAAATTGTTTAATTTTTATAAATATTAAATACGAATATTAATATTTGCGATGATTTATACAAAGAAACATCGTAATATTTGTAATTATATTGCATGTATATACCTCCTGAATTGGCCATGACGTTTGGTTGATCAGTTACACTAGCAACCGTAGTAATTGTAACCTGGACGCATCGGCCTTTCTCCAGATCGTAACCTATCTTGCATTTGCAATATGCTTTTTCTCCTTTCGAATTTTGAAAGCATCTTTCATTTTCATTGCATTGATTCTCCATCTTTTGGGTATCGCATTGTTTGGTTTGATTTGTGACATTTCCTGCAGAAAAATCTGAATACACAATAAATTAATCAGAATCCAGGACGTTACGTCGAAATCGACAATTAACGTTATATTGATACGAAGCAAGATTCAATGTGTCGCGTGACGAAAAAGATTGGACGAATTGAAAGCAGGGAATACAAAAAGCTTTCCGAGTTAATTCACCTAGACAAAGGTTAATATACGACTCACGATAGGCGAATAACAATGAAGATAATAAAGTCTTTAATGGATTGCGATAAACATTTTAGACATTCTAACGTTAAAAAATATCATATGTATATCTTTAGCAATTTTAATTCAACCAGTGTATAATATACGTTGTAAAAACATATCTTATCATTTTAATGGATGATCGTTATCAATTGAAAATTTACTGTTATTATTCGTTATTATATTCCATATCTATCACAATTACCCAATAATCAGAATTATTTTTTAATTTTCTTTGAACAAAAGACAGAGAGCGGCTGAAGAGTGATGTATCATTGCGACTCTATCGACACTGTACGAGTTGAAATTGGCTGAATCACTTAATTGAGACGAATTTTATCAGTTAAAATATAGAGGTTAACTATACCGATGTTAAATAAAGCAAATTAACAGACTTTCTTTTGATTTAAATCGTGGTATTGTATAAATTTGATAAGCTGCTATCATGCAATGCCAAAATAATAATAATAATAGTAATAATAATAATAACGATATTTGGAACGACTTCAAATAAATGAATATTCAAGAGATTAGAAACATTTGCAACTTGACTCGAAATATCGCATTCAGTTTTCCGCAATTAATTTATACCATTAATACGTGTCAATGAACTTCTCCATGATAACAACACAGAATTCATAGGTCAATCAAACAATGAGACCTTTTATTCCAATTCTATGCCATGCATTCGTATTTCTATTTAGAAGATAAAAATCAAGAATGAGACAACCGAAAAATATTACTCAATCATCTATGTATGTGCTAGAGTCCTTGACTTATACTTAGATTGACTACAAAACTGTGTATTTTACGTATGTCATATATAAAAATGCGATATAAAGAAAGAATTCATCGTAGCTATGGATAATCGTATCTTTCATAAAATAAATTATATTGCAGAAGAGCACTATAGAATGACTAACGGAATTATCGCGCAACATTATTCATTTGCAAAGTTAGTTATGGTTATAAATTTAATGTGTTAATACGTTAACTATACGTTAATTATTTCCTACAAAATGGATTGCGAAATATAAAGTGATATTTTGAATCGAATATATTCGTGATATACGTTTTATTTATCGTGCATCATTCGTTAATGAAGAATGAAAACAGGCGGTACTGATTCTGATATAAATACTGGTACTACTCTAGTACTGGTTTAGTAAAGTTACCAATACTCGTAATGGTGTTAAATAGCGTTAAACGCTACGCATGGACTTTATTATCACATTGACTCATCTTCTTATGACCAAATACTGATGAGCGTTTTTTCCAGGAAATCATGCAAAAATATTAAACATATTCATCGCGATTCAAAAAGATAACTTTCGTTAAACGTAATTTATTTTATATATTGATGGAAATTTCTTGTCTGAAAGAATAACTAAACGTACAATTACTATAAAAATATCGTGTTATGTATCAATTACCGAATAATCGAATCAAATTGATTGTGCGATAACGAGCGTTTCCTATGTGAAACATTAAGCATTTATCTTCCATTGAGACAGAATATATAGTAATTGTGGTTTGGAACATGGAGTACGAACAAATGAATCAAGAGAGAAACGATGAAATGAAATACTATCAAAATAAAAATATATAATTAAGGGAGTTTAATTTCTTGATCACAATCATCAGGAGAGAAAGAAATGCACGAATAGTTGGATCAAAAGAATCAGAAAGAAATGAAGAGAGAGATAGAGAGAGATAGAGAGAGAAAGAACGAGAGGGGTAGAGAGAGTGATGGAGAAAAAGCGGAAGAAGACTATTGTGGCCTTACAGGGGTGACCCCAATGGTTCGATTAAACCAACTAATTTTGGCTTCGCTTGGTACAGACACACTTGATTTATTTTATTAAACAAACTACAAATTATTTCTCAGAATTCATGCTTACCTGAAGCGTAATTGAATGGCGTGAGAAAAAGTATTGCCACGATGAGATAACAGAAAACATAGACTCTAATGTTTTGCATTTTCCTTTGTTTTTTCCTTCTCGTGTTGTCGCTCTCTCTTTGTCTTTCTCTCTACGTGTTCGTTCCCAATTCACGGTCACATAATAATGGACGCAATTATTTAAAGAATATTTACGATCGACGCGTTTGTGCCACTCGAAAAATGTAATGTTAAACGCACAAATATACACACACGTAATTTATTAAAATATTCACGTAGATAACCTAAAACTTTAGCACGAAACAATCAACAGGCACGCGAATGCCGGCTCATCGCCGATCGGCCGGCCGTCACCAGTTTTGACAGATAAATGCTAGACCGCGCCGCAGAATGCGTTCAATCATCTGTTATTAAACGACCATTTGCAATTATCGAACTCAATTGACATCGAGAATCGCAAAAGACATATCGAGACATATCGAGCATAAGATGGCGTCATAGAATACGCGCATTGCTATTTGGCGCGATATTCAAAATTCAATTTTACGTAAAAATTATTTAAATCCATTTTTTATCAATTTAAAAATGAAAAAACTATGAAATAGATTAAACATAATGAAAAAACAATATCTATATTTTCAATATGTTTCTTTTTTTAATTTGATTAAATTTCTTAATTTAAAAATGATATTGCAAACAAATAAAAATGATGATCAATTGTAATTTTAAAAATCTTTTTAATACTATTCTGAATTTGTGACAAATAGATATTTTTAAATCAAGTAAAAGTGTATTTCGTATCTTCTAAAATGTAGATAATTTCGTTATCTAACTAGAAAGATCGATTTCTACAGATTATTTTTAAAAAGTAGAATCTTTACTTAACCCAAAAAATATAATATTCATGGAATATTTTTAAATATATCATATGAAATGTATTTTTAATCAATCGCATAATTTGATGTTAAGTTATTTTGAATTCACTTTTTACACGTTGAAAGATATTTTCTCTATTGGAATGCACAGCCGTTTAAAACAGTTGCGATGACAGCGGCACGTGTCATGGCGAGTGTGTTGTTATAAACGAAAGTCGTATACTGTTAGTCGTAGATAGAATTGAAAGCTATCAATTACAATATTCAAAATGAAGGAAGAAACAGTGTTAAGTTTAAAGTGGCACAGTTTTCCATCGCATTTGGCGGTTTCTCTCGATACATGCTATGAGAAGCAACAGTTTGTAGATCTTTCTTTAGTATGCAAAGATGGGACGATTATAAAATGTCATAAAATGGTATTGGCTAATTCGAGCTCATTTTTCCGTCGTTTACTAGTTGCCAACGATCATCCTCACCCTATGATTATTCTTCACGATATTGAAGCAGACGATCTCAAGACTATCGTCAATTTTATGTACTGCGGTGAAATACAAGTGGTTCAAAGTGAGGTTAGAAGGTTGTTAAAGTTGGCCGAAATTTTGGAAGTAACTGGATTACGACATATTAAAACTTCAGTTTTGGTAGGAGAATCGAATAACGCATCTCATGATACGTCCAGGAAAACAACTACAGTATCTCGTTTAAAAATCGAAGAAACAAAAAGTCTACCTACCAAAACAGTACCTGATCATGATTCTAATATTAGATCACAAACTAAAACTAACAATCAAACAAAATTTACTTCATCTACTCACCTTCATAAAAGTGGAAACAAAGTTCCACTAGAGGTTACTAAGAAAAATGAAGAGGCTAATATTAATTTATTAAGTCAATGTTTAGACACAGGAAAATCTGGAATCAGTATTGTAGACATTAATGATATGCCAAGTACTAGTAGAGGAATTTCCAATCCACCGCCTCAAAAAAGAAAAGAACCCTCTGAATCTGTTATTAGTTGGCCTCGTGTTTTATCTGCTATATCAAAGGATAAATCTTTACCTTTGAAAAAATTATGTATTATGGATGAAGTTGAAATTACAGCTGGAAAGCCATCTGCAGCTAATCAAGAGTTTCAGAGGAATGAACCTTTAGACAGAAGAAAACAAAGGACTAATTCGGAAAGCAATGAATCCATGAAGTGTGCAGTTTACATAAAAGACGAGGTGGACATATTTGAAATGGAAGAAGATGCAGATATGGATCCTCTTGAAGTTGAAGAGATAGAAAATGAAAGTTCAGATACTATTATGGGTTCTTCTCAAATTTTTCCTGTCACAAATGTGGAACAAACATATTATAATGCAGGAACACTTTCGGAATATCCTCCAAGAAAAGGATCTAATGGTTAATACATAAAACACTGTGTTTTAAAATTGAAATTATTGATATATATTGCTTTGAATATAACACTTAGACTGAATAAAACTTTTTTGTGATTATAAATCTTTTTTAACCAAAAAAGCTGCAAAATTTCAATATATATAAATTAACCATAATTCACTATCATACTTGTTACTTTCTTACATGATCTTGTTCATTTTATAATAAACCAATTCAAAATAAATGTTTCATGCTTATTTAATCACTTAACCCATTTGATACACATTTATGTTACCATGTTATATGTTTCTATGGAAACCTTTCACAATTAGTCTCAAATATAGTTAGATCAATCTCTGTATAAAAAAATATTTATATAATGTAAAATGGATAAAACAGAAGATCATGATACATTAAAAAACAAAATAATAGAAGGGCAACAAATTATGGATAATTTATCAGTTGATAAACATGTAACTGAGGAAGAATTTCAAAACTTTATGCATCGCGTTACCGAAGTTGGTAAGTACTATTTTGATTATTTTGATTATAAATATAATTTTCGATTTATTGTAATTTTTTTAAGAAAAAATTGTGAAAAAATTGGCATCTTCCAATCCTGAAGAACAAGAACATGGACAAATATTGGCAGATGAAATTTTGGATGGACGATCGGAAAATATTATTTGCGATGATACTGAATTAAAAATAAAAATGAATCGTACAATGATTAATAAATGTTCAATTAACAAAAATTCTACTAATGAAGAAATGTCCAAAGGTATCAAGTAATAATTTTTGTCTTTTGTATTCCTGTACACTAATTAAAGTTTTATTTACATTTAGAAGCGTTTATGAAAAGCGTAGAAAAAGATGCAAAAGAAAGGGCGGAAAATAGAAAGATTAGAAATGAACGAGCGGAAACATTGAAAACAATTGGTAATGGGGCATTTAAGGAAAGAAATTATGAGAAAGCGGTAACATATTATACTAAAGCGCTAGAACAGCGAAAAGATTCAACCGTATTATGGAATAACAGGGCTTTGTCATATATTCAGCTTGGATTATTCGAGAAAGCCTTAAGCGATTGCGAATGGGCATTAAAAGTTAATAACACGAACTTGAAAGCCCTATTAAATAGTGCTAAGTGTTATAAACAACTCGGAGATGAAACGAAATACAAAGAATATATTCTATTAGCAAAAGAAAGAAATCCACATTTAATGAATTTTATTAATGGTACTTTGTTGATGTTTTTTTACATTGAAAATATTTCTATCATAATTCTAAATTTTTATTTAATTTATTGTTACAGAATTTGAAGAAAGTTTGGAAATGCGCGTTAAATATCAAGCTTCATCTGTTAATAATATTAATTAGTAAACAATAGAAATATTTCTTATGCAGTATGAATATTTCTTTTGCAATAATTTAAAATGCATTTAAAATCTGGTGTCAAGATGGACCTATTTTTGTCGCATAACCTTCTTTAATCTCTGAAAGAGATCTAGGTTCATGCAAAAAGACTGTACATTCAATACCCTGAAAGAATTTATTACTAGAATTATTTAAATTTGTCATATTTTATAGTACAAATACTTATACCTGCATACGTGCTGCTCTAACAAATCCCTCATTTGCAGATACCGTAATGCTTTTCATATGTTCTCCTGTTGCAAAAACTAATCTAGATCTGTCTTTAATTTTACCACCTAAATTTAACTTCTCCATTATTCTGCCTGTTGGTATGTCATTAACAATCTGAACTTTATTTAATAATTCTTTTGCCCTAAGAGTCTCTTTAGGTCCACCAATGACATCTATAATATTCATAAAATTTTCATAAGCAGTTTGACAAACAATTAATTCTTTGCCTTTGAACAAATTCTCTAAAATTGGTTTAACTGGATATTTTCTCTCCATTTCTGCTTGTTGAGTGAGTAACGGTTCCCGATAAATAAAATGATCATATCCATTGGTCATATTTGTCACATATGCTAATAAAGTTGATACATCCAAGTTAAGAATCTTTATTTCAGTTTTAAGAGAAGATGTGTTTAGAGTATTTAAATCTGAATTTATGTTTTTTTTATAATCATCCAAAGATTCCTCAGTAGATTCTAACGAATATAGCCATGTAGCAATTTTGTCCTCGCTATCTACCTCCAGAAGAATAGATATAACCGTAAATATGATTTGTTAATTTATATATATCATATATATTCATATATTCATCATATTAAAAAAAATATATACCATATACATCTATATTTTTTACATCTTCACATTGTATTTTATCCCCTTCAACAATTATTCCCATGTGTTCCAAACGTGTAGCTAATGGAATTTCTATACCATAAGCAAAATGGAATATAATGTCAGGTGGCCTATACAAATGTGGATAGCATTTTGCACATTGTAAATAACTCATTGCTTGATCAAGCACAGATTTTTGCCCATATTCTCCATTACCCATTGAAATCATTGTAAGAGCTCTAGCATTTCTAGCAATAACTTTTATCCATGATGCACCTCCATTACATACAATATCTACTTCTAAACGTGATTTTTGATATTTAAAAGGTTTCATAACATTGATGGGTTCATTAGCACAAAAGAGTCGTGCTACAATTGCATTCAAATGAATCAGATTTGTGCTTTGTAAATGTTCCTTCTTTACATTCCCTGTGGATTGTACCTTTATGAGAATAGCATATAGTTATAATCCTGATCCTTTTAATAGAAAAGTGTGTAACAATTCGACAATTTTTTGTATTTAAACATAAAATTAATAGAAGAAAATAGAATGAAATGTTTCATAACTTATATAAGTTATAATATATGCCTAATATCGTGAAAGAAATGTAGGTATATGATATCTGTAGTTTTGATTTGTAATCTTGAAAAAACATACCTTTTCTAAGAATCTAATTTCTTGTTGAATCTTTCGTATAAGTTTTTCAATCCCATCAATCTTTCCAACAAGTTTCAGTCGATCTATCGTGGCTTTGCCACTGTTTATTTTTTCTCCGAGACATGTTAAAAGTTCACCCTTTTCCTCCATCCTTTAACATTAAACGATTTTCGACAAGTTGGCCATGAGAAATTGTATTTTTTGTAGTAATTCTAATAATTTTGAATAGTTCACGATCGACGAACGTAGTGTTAGCAGCCATCTTGCATTACAGTTCAATATCGCGTAATGTCGACGGGTCGCTTGTCAAACTCGTCTATTAACCTCACAAACTTTTATATTTCACTGAATAATTGACAGTCAAACATAATTCATAAATCGTAATGATACAATATTCCAACGAATCGTGCGAAATGTAAAACTATAGGCAGAAAACTAATTCGCGAGTGTAAATCGAACAAAAACAACCTTATCGTGCCGTAATTACCGCGCACCGTCAAGATTCCTCTGACAATAATAGAGAATATCACGGTATTTAAGTTAAAAAAATGTCTAGTGCAAAGATCATCGAAAATCCAGAAGTACCGGGTAAGTTTCTATTCCTAGGAAAGAATTTTCCTCATTGATTCACGTTGTTAAAGATATATGTACGTATATTCTAGTGAATCTAGTGTGTCGAAAATATGCAAACTCCTGAATTTCCCAAACACATCGATCATTGAAAAAATATTTATTATATTATTAATATATATACGAAAAAATATTTTTTACAAATGGAACAGTATCGCCGCAAGTGTAAATATACTGTATGTAATCATAATGGAGTCTGTTAGAAATAACCGGATATAACTTTTGATATGCCTATATCAATCAATTATCAAAACAATTACTTAAAGCATGCACATGTTACGTCCAACGTTAAATAGGTAAAATAAGAAAATACTTTAGCCATAGGATATTTTTACGTTTACTGTCAAATTTCATTCAATATTTGAATATTTAAATCAGCTGATGATTTTAAATATAAAATAACAAATATATATATATTGACACAGTAATGTAATTACTTATCAATTTTGTCACCGAAATTAGGTTTTTTTTATATCGAATTAGATTAGAATACCAATAAATCAAATGAAGATATAAATATAAAGGGATTATAAATTATCGGATATAGTAACATGTAAACATTCAGTTATCATTTATGCATGATATTTTGCTAATATATGAACATTGATCTTTATTATTATTCTTTTCACTCTTTTTACGTATTTTATTTCGTTAAATTTATTGAATACATTATTATTTACAATAATTACGATTATTTCATTATTTCGGAAAATTAATCGTGCGAATTAAAATAATTTCTTTAATTCTAAATCATTGGATAAAATGCATACAACGAAAAATCGATAAACGAAATTTACAGTTGTTTCTAACCACATAAAAAATATATATTACTAATAAAAATGATTAATATTACGACTTTTATATTTGCAAACTTATTCGATATTACAAGATTAATCATAGAATTATATTCGATTAAATCCTATCTTCAAATAAATTATAACAATATACATTTTCTTTATATTTTATTATTCCGTATTTTTTTTAACTTTTATTCATACATGTTTATACGTTACATTTAAATAGAAGGAGTTTTATTAATATCATAAATCTAATTTTAAAAAAATATTTTCTTTCTTATATATATCATATACAATTATTATTATTATTATTAATATTTTATTATTATTTTAATACATTTAATAAAATATATCTTTTATTCGTATATATAGGATTAGAATGTTTTCTACCGCCACCTCCACCACCCCCACCACCAATCATAACTTCGAAAAGCAACAATTTGCCAATTACGACGGAACAACAGCAACCGGTAACGACAGAAGCGACAACGACCGGTTTATCGACCTGCGAAACAGCGGGAAATCTAACAATTGAAACAGCAGCTACGGCGTTTCCAAACCTTCCTGTGCCAACACCATATATCATGCATCCAGCGATGCAAGCACAAACACCTGGACAACCAACTACTCCCTGGTGGATACCTACAGACGCGGACACTTCTGATCTTTATGCACGATGGTATGACACGACCTACAAAACAACAGCTGCGGCGGTCGTATCACCTACGATAACAGTTTCCAACAAAGCTAAGAACAAATATTATAAACGCAAGAACGAGTTCATCGATCCTGCGCAAGATGCAGGTAATTAAAGAACGTTTTGTTTTTTTTATGGTGAGAAATAAATGTAATGTATATATTTTATTTTAGAATTTATCTGTTTTTTTTTTTCGTTGATTATCAATTAATTACTATAATTTGTATATATCAAATTATCATTAAGAAATCAGATTATCAAATAGCAAAGGAAACAAATTTATTAAAGATCGATTTATGTTTCTATTTCGTAGAGAAAGTTGCGAGCGCCCAGAGGGAACTGTCAGCATTAATGAAACCGCTGAAATGCGATCTGTGCAATGCAGTTGTAAGCCTCGATTACTTTATCCGATAATATAAAAATATATGAGACATCCTGTTATGAATATTATGTCGTCATATTTAACACGTATTTTAACCAAAGCCTCGAATGAAATCCTCATCGCTTAAAAATAAACGATTTCAGATGAACTCCACGTTGCAAGCCAAGTTACATTACGATGGAAAGCCACATCAGAAAAAAGTATCGATGTTTCTAAATCAAAGCGTAAAGAAACAGAAAACCGAAGACGGCCAAGTCAGTAGTACGACCAGCGATTGGCAAAATTATTGTGATGTAAGATTGTAAATATTAATCCATTAACACGAGAAGGGGGGTGGAAATCGTCGAATTTATTTATTATTTAATTTTTTGCAGATTTGTAAAACGTGGTTCACGTCGCAAACGGATGCGACGCAACACTATGCCGGTAAAAAACATATTAGAGCAGTAAACGGGGGACGTCGTGCGAGGTACAGAGATGTATACTTGTCCCTAATTATTCTTAGAAAGATAGCTGTGTCAGCCGAGATCGTCATAGCAGAGCGTTGAATTCTACAGGCCGTCGAAGAAGTCGCAAAATCAAAATCAGTACAGTCAAATAGATCCCACTGGCCGATTCGGGATAGGAATGGCTTTTCAGGCAGAAGTGCAATCTACACCGGCACAGCCGGTGGTAGTATCTGACGGTACCAATGCGGTACCTACACCAGGAACGGGGTCCATCTACACACCACCTCCTTATCCAACGCCATTGCGTTGCGATCTGTGCGGGGTTTCCGCTAATCGGCAGGACCAATTGGAAACGCACAAACGTGGCGCTAGGCATTTGAGAATGCTTAGGTTGAATGGATTACCCGTTCCCGAGCCTGGTAAGAATTCCACGTATTCCTCGCCTCTTGTCCCGATAAATAACATTCGTCCTGTTGGATTTTTTCAGCTACCGAGAGCGAAGCGATACCCGCTACTCCTGGTCCCATAGATTATTCTATTTACCGAACGCCGTCAGGTAGAGACTGTTTCCAAACGTTTTTTTAAAACGTTTAATTTTTAATAATCTGTACCTATCTGTCAATTCCCAAAGAGAATAGAACCTATTTCTATTTTTTCAGGCCAGTATTATTGCGCACCGTGTAATCTATCGTTAAATTCCGAGAGTACGTTTGCTCAACACGTAGAGAGCAAAAAGCACAAGAATCAGTCGAACCCAAAGTCTCCGTCTAACGCGGTGGTGGTGTCGAAGAAAGCTAGATTCAAGAAGAAATAAGGCCTTGGTGACATCGTACGCGCTCCGCACGTTATTTCTTCG